CTCACTCGATCACCGACTTACGCAATTCGTTTTCTCCTTTCATCGCATTGACCGCTCCGCAGTGAGACCATTGACACGGCAGAAGAGACAAACAGGCGAAAAGAATGCGGCAAAGGCTGGGGCCTCCTTTCATGCGAGCCTACCCTTGACCCCTCAAACCCTCTGGTCGCCCTGCCCCGCCCCTTGTCGGCCCGTTGTCAGCCCTCCGTGACGGCCTGCACGAGATCTGTCATCTGCCCTCCCTCCATCCCTCCCTCCCTCGGTTCTCGGTTCTCTGTTCTCGGGCGCTCGTACCGACACACACACACACGGGGCGATTGATGCACATGACTGGTGAGTGACACGCCGAGGTGATGCATGGCGCTGTGATGACGGGCGGTGGTGGTTGTCATCTGTCTGTGTGTGTGGTGTGCTGCAGATGTCGTGTGGCGGTGCTTGGCGACGACACTGCACTCGACCAACTGGTACGCCGAGAGAGATGGGCACACACACACATTGGGACAAAGGCAGGACTCACACACACAGATGTCTGTCTGTCTGTGTGTCCTCAGTGTGTGCACGTGTGTCTGTCTGAGTGGCTCTCTGATGGCTTCGACGCGCTGACGGCGATGATGTGTGCTGAAGGGAGAGAGATCGGCCGATGAGCCGACGGACGGGCTGACTGAACTGAACTGAATCCCTCACTATGTCGCCTTTTGGTCGTATGTGCGTCGATCTCACTGTGTTGTGTTGTGGGGCTTTGCGTGTCGGTCGGTCTGGCTGCCATTGTCATAGGCTCTCTGCCTTGCACTTCTCAGCCGTCTGCGGCCATGAGTGTGTCGGCTGATGAGTGGGGGGCGGGGGAGAGATGACAGACAGACAGACAGACAGACAGAGAGGGAGGATTGGCTGGCTGGCTGCACAAAGGAATCGCTGTGTGGGGTGGCGGTGGCCGTCTGTCTGTATGTCGCCGAGGTGTCACGGCTGCTGGCGAGAGTGTGTTGATCTCTCGTCGATGCATCCGTCACACACGGCCGGCTCACAGACAGACAGACCGACACACACACACAGAGATAGTCTGTCTGGCTGAGAGAGAGAGAGAGAGAGAGTTTTGGTTCCCCCTCGTGTGTGTCCTCCCCTCTCTCTGTGGGCATCTACGATGTCGGTCGGTAACAGTGAGTGTTTTGGTTTTCCTGTGTGTGTGTTGTCCCCTCTCTCTCTGTGGGCATCTATCTCTCCGGTAGGCAACGTCAGAGCGTCAGCCCATGAAGGGTTTTGGTGCTTTAGGGTTGCCGGGCGGTGACAGAGATGCGCACAGGGGGGCGAGGGAATGGACACACACGACTGCTGACCCATCACACCAAATGAGGCAGTGGATGTGTCTTCTTGCCATCACACCCACCCGTGTTGACGGATTGACGCAGTCTGCGTGGGAATGAGAGAGAGAGATATGGGACGGCACACGAGAGTGTGAGAGAGGAAGGTTAGTCTCGTTCGGTGTGCCTGCCATTCGTCCCGCTGTTTGGCTGCCTGTTGGGTGTCAGTCATGGGGCACTCGGCTGTGAGTCATGTGTGTCTGTCTGTCTGTCTGTGTGACTGAGTGGTGGCGATGATGTGTGCTGAAGGGAGAAAGATCGGCCGATGCGCTGACTCCTGCTGCACAATGAGTACTGACTACCTGGCCTTAGCTGACATCTCTCTCTCTCTGCCTCTGCCTTTGTTTCTCTCTCGTGGTCCTTTTGCGTGTGGGTGTCGGTCGTCGACTGACGGACGACAGCAGGACAACACGAGAGCTCATTACGCGGCGGCGTGCGGCGGTCTGATGATGGGCTTTGGTGTCTGCGAGCAATGGTACACCGACAGACACACAGAGAGGGAGGGACACACAGACGGACAGAGAGGGCAGGCCGATGACGTCTGTGTGTGTCTGTGTCTGTGTGTGTCAGCTGTGGTTGGTGTGCTGATTCACTCGCTGGAACAAGGCCAGACGACGGCCGAGCTGCTGCCGCTGTGAGATCGGCCGATGAGTCGACGAGCTGATGTGAGTAAACTGACTGTCTATCTCTCTGCCGCGTGGACGGCATCGATGGACTGACGGCTGTCGTGTTTATGAGAGTGTATTGTGTTGTGGGGCTTTGCGTGTCGGTCGGTCTGGCTGCCATTGTCATTCTTCGCCAGCTCGCAGTTGTCAGCCGTCTGCTGCGATGAGTGTGTCGGCCGATGAGTGGGGGGCGGGGGAGAGATGACACACAGACAGACAGACAGACAGAGAGGGAGGATTGGCTGGCTGCACAAAGGAATCGCTGTGTGGGGTGGCGGTGGCCGTCTGTCTGTTATCAGGCCGTCTGTGATGCTTGCTCGCGAGAGTGTGTTGATCTCTCGTCGATGCATCCGTCACACACGGCCGGCTCACAGACAGACGGACAGGCCGACACACACACTCTGATCTGCCTGAGAGAGAGAGAGAGAGAGAGTTTCGGTTTTCCCTCGTGTGTGTTGTCCCCTCTCTCTCTGTGGGCATCTATGTCGCCGGGAGGCAACGTCAGAGCGTCAGCCCATGAAGGGTGTTGGTGCTTTAGGGTTGCCGGGCGGTGACAGAGATGCACACACAGGGGCGGGCGAGGGAATGGACGCACACACGACTGCTGACCCATCACACCAAATGAGGCAGTGGCTGTGTCTTCTTGCCGACCGTCCGGATGTCATACTTGCACACCCACAGACAGACGCGTACGTGTTGTGTGTGTGTGTCTGTCTGTGTGCGTCTGGTGGTGCCTGACGCACCGACGAATGGCGGCAGTGTGACAGAGAGATGGGATGGCTCGAATGTGATCGGTGGGATCCACACAGCCAGACAGACAGCCAGACAGACAGACAGACACACATGGATGGATCGCTGAATGGATGAGTGGATCGATGTGTCCACGTGTCGTTTGCGTGTTGGTGCGTGGATACCAGCCGTTGTTCTGTATGTCCAAGTGGGCAGAGGAGAAAAGAGATTCTGTGACTGTCTGTCCATATTGCGTGTGTGAGTGAGAGAAAGAGACTTCGATTTGGTTATTCCTTAGTGCTGCCTGCGTGTGTCGGTGTGCTGGCTGTTGTGTTTGCCCATGGCCACGTCACACAGTGAGTGTTGATCGTCACTCTCTGTGTGCGGTGGCCATCGAGCGGCTGACAGACAGACACACACACACACAGAGGAGCGGCCAGGCCACTCGTCGGTGTGCAGACTACACCATTGCCGGCCAGGTCATTATGACAGTCGATGCGCTCACCTGACTGACGCCCACAATTCGGCCCATCCAGCCGTCCGGCAGCGCCATAACTAAGGCGGCCCCCCACTGCATCGGTCTCACATCAGTGCCCAAGCCGATCGCCGGCTGAGAAATGACCAATGACAGACAGGGGAACGATCTTATGTGGGTCTGTGTATGTCAGTGAGACAGACAGAAAGAGACAGACTTTTCGGCGTGTGTAAACAAAACGGGCTGTCTGTCTGCCTGTGTGTGTGGCCGTCTTGTGGTTTGTTGGGTTCGTTTGGTCTGTCCCTGTCGATTGTTTCTGTCTGTTTGTGTGTGTGGGGCATACGGACGGCCAGGGAGCCAGAAAGTGTGACGTGGCCATCAGCTGGGGACACACACACACAGACAGACAGAGAGATCAACACAGCGGGTGCATTGAGTCGATCATATCAGTGAGTCAGTCTCTTTGGGTCTCAGAAGCGATGGAATGAACATATATAATGAGCTGTGCACACAGACAGACAGCTCGTGGGCGTCGTATATACACACACACACACACACACAGAGCCCTCCTGTCCATGGGAATGTCTGGGCAGCGCGGGATGGGAAGAGAGCAATCCCATGACAGACACCTCACACACAGACACATCCTCCCCCTCCCCCTCCCTCTGTCACTGACCTGCCGCCCTCATGCCCCGCCCACGTCGAGAAGCGGATGCACCCCAAACAGACACTCACTGCCCGCCCACGTGCACCACCTCTAACTCATCCGCATCGAAGAAGAATGACCCGCCCAGCAGAGCACTGCCATAGCTATTTTCCTCGCCCCCACATAGCCCTCAGGCACCTCGTTTCTGTCGGTGGACTGAAAGCAGCTGCGGATGTCGGCAGCTGGCCAGTCGCTGCCATCGTCACCCAACCGCAGGCCCCCACCGATTCTCACACTCGCACCATACAGACTCCCCTCCCTCCCCGCCACATACTGCGCCAATCGGCTGATATCTATCTTGGTCGGCTGGGGGAAGTGGCCAGCCAGCGAGAAATGCCAGACGTCACAGTCGTACCGGTTGCTGCCGGTCGGGTCGTCAGGCAGCTCCAAACCGGCACTGATGAAGGCGCCGAAAACGTACTCGCCCTTGCGGACGACGAACACCAGGCCGGTCTTGTCGCCCACACAACGCAGCAGATTGTCGTAAGTCGAGCCGTGGAGAGACGTGCTGCACCACGACCCACACACATCCGGTAGTGCAGATAAACAAATGGAATGTGTGTGCTCTGCGAACCGGTAGAGTGACTTGAGCTTGACCTGGCCGCCGATCAGTCCGCGGAGGGCCTTGAACTCGGACTCGGTCAGCGAGCTGCCCAGAGGCACACACACCTGCACACAACCAATACCACCATACCCACCAGAGAACATCCATCCATCCATCAGCCGGCCTGCTTGTGCGCACCAGTGGCTTGTGGAGCGACTGCAGCGACGCCTTGCCCACCCTCAGCTCGCCCACACGGCCCTCCAGCCTGCACACAAACAGCGCAGTGCAAGCAAAGAATGGCGACCCCAGATCGGCCGTGATGTGATGGCTGGCTCTATTTCAGTCTTACTCGTTGATGCGTGTGGAGGCTTCCTCCTTCTGCTGATACTTGAGCAGCTTGATCATGCCGTAGGACTTGGTAATGCAGGCCGCCGTGCTAACCACCCTGCGTCGCATGACACAGACAGAGAGAGTGAGGAAGTGGCTGTGAGCATATGTCATTCGTGTGTCCACTTCGGCTACCTGCAGGTGGGGCATATGACGCTTCCATTGGGTTGCTCCCATCGTCTCACACACTGCACAAGCGCACCCACACAGCCAAATATGACTGCCTCTCTGGCGGCTTCACAACGTGTGTTTGCTGTACGCTCACCTCTTTGCAGAGTGCGTGATCTGCATCCATCACATCCATCAACACGCAAACGAGAGGAAACGCATTGCACAGCTGCGGCCCACTCATGTGTGTGTCCGCCCCTCACCGCAGCTGCCGAGGTTCAGCGGCATCTGGTCGCCCTCGATCTCCCACTCGCTGAAACACACGGCGCATGTGTCGCCGTCGTCATCAGCCGAGCTGCAGGGCGGCTCCTTGCGCTTCATGCCTGCCATCACGGTAGTTGTTGTGCTCTATCTACTCTGTGCTATGCTACTATATGCCGTCAGGTCAGGGGCGAGTTGCCGCAGCAGCAGGGCGAGGGCCCTGGCAACACACAGCAGCGCAAATGCGATGAATGACGAGTGCAGTGCCCCGCCATCGCTCTCTCTGTGCAGTGGCATACCTGCTATGAGTTCGCTGCGGCCGTTCGGTGACGTGTTTCCACCGCAGACACGTCAGCAGCTATCTGGCGCAGCTGTATTCTTCTCAGAGCTCAACCAACAATTTGTCTCTCCAGGGTTTGAGACCCTACCCTGTAACCCCCAAACCCTGCCGCGGTGCGTTGAAATGAAAGATGCCACCACGAAGTGGCTGTTGACATCTCCAACGACAAAACCTCCGCCCTGCCCCGTCGGCCCGTTGTCAGCCCTCCTGACGGCCCACTGCACGAGATCTGTCATCTGCCCTCACCCCTTCCTCTCTCCCTCCGGTTCTCTGTTCCCGGGCGCTCTCACCGAAAAACACACGGGGCGGCTGCTGGCGGCACTGACAGACAGACATCGGTCCGTGGCAGTCAGTCAGTCAGGTGATGCATGGCGCTGTGATGACTGGCGGTGGTGGTGGTCATCTGTCTGTGTGTGTCGTGTGCTGCAGATGTCGTGTGGCGGTGCGGGGCGGCGGTGCTTGGCGACAACACTGCACTCGACCAACTGGTACACAGAGAGAGATGGGCACACACACACATTGGGACACAGGCAGGACTCACACACACAGATGTCTGTCTGTCTGTCTGTCCTCAGTGTGTGTCTGTCTGAGTGGCTCTCTGATGGCTTCGACGCGCTGATGGCGATGATATGTGCTGAAGGGAGAGAGATCGGCCGATGAGCCGACGGACGGGCTGACTGAACTGAACTGAATCCCTCACTATGTCGCCTTTTGGTCGTATGTGCGTCGATCTCACTGTGTTGTGTTGTGGGGCTTTGCGTGTCGGTCGGTCTGGCTGCC